GGTGTCATGAAAAAGTTATGGAGCTAGATATTGGTAAGTTGTACAACATTGTAAGTGTACTTAATGCCACTGAATTGTAAACTTTAAAATGTTTAAATGGTAAATATTATGCTATGTGTATTTTACCAGAATAAAATGGTAGTAAATTTTAAAACAGTCATCTTACAAAAACTAGCCTTAACAGTGCTTGAAGAAACTTAATAATATAAAAATACAAAATACGAAAATTTTAAGAAGTCAAAGTTAAACATATTGGTAATATAATAAGAAAAATATTTAATGTTATAAATGTAAGGATAAATCCAAGATCTAGGTTAAACGAAGCTAATGTCAATATCTCTACTCTTATGTAAATGGCTGATATGAGCAGGGTTTTTTAAGACATGTAGATTCCAACAAAACACAATTACTGTCCAACCCCGAGAACCTAAGTCATAGGCCAACAATGCTCAAGCTCTTTCTTTTACATTTGATCTTAGCCAAAAGGCCGAGAAGCGATCAAGCTCTTTCTTTTAGTTCAATTCATTTCCAAAAGCAAGTGAAATAGCTCTGTGAAATCAGGAAGGGCAGAAAATCAGAATTGTTCTGTAGCTCCCCATTCAGCTCAACACACTCATTTTCACTACCCTAGCTTTCTCTGCACTTATAAAGGCTCTAAGTTGCAGAGGTCGAATACTTATTTCTTTGCAGTGGGAGAAATGTCCAACAGAGGGAGATGTTAGGCTATCCTAGATTCTGCAATTAATAAATAATTCTAAACATGACTAAGAGGATCTTAAAAACTGGGTTGTTATTGAACTAACCTAAGTTGTATAATTCTCACCGGATATTAAATAGATTAATACATTCTTTACAATTATTCATTTAAAACATGAAATTTTCCAAATTCTATTTAAAATGTTGATTGGATGTATCCTCAATTCAGAATAGAGAAAATTAACTAAATGTTTTGTTAGAAATCTAGTACTTTATTTGATTGACTATAGCCATTATAGCTACATTTATTTTTTGGTAGAAATATATGCAAATATTAATAACTAAATTTGTTCAAAACATTAAAAAGAGAAACATTACAGTAATATTTTTCCACATAAAATTTTAAACCCTACTTCCGCTTATTTATCTACATTTTAGAAAACTTACTGTATATCTGTTTTCCTTGGTGATTCTAAATGATCTCAAATAAATATGCAAATTTGATGTTTACCTTTAAGAACACTTAAAAGTTTTTTTTTGTATTCTCTATATAATTTTGTTTAAAGTATTGCAAATAGTAGTACATGTCTTCTTATTTTCCTCCCCATTGACCTTCGCCTTGTGTCCCCTACACCCCGGCATATGCCCTGCCCCCCTCTCCCAGTGTCTTGTGTCCATTGGTTATGCTTATATGCGTGTATACAAGTCCTTCGGTTGATCATTTACCCCACCACCCCCACCCAAGCCTTCCCGCTGTAATTTGAGTCTGTTCAATGCTTCTCTGCTTCTGCATCTATCATTTTGTTCATCAGGTTATAATGTTATTTTCAATAGATGAGTTAGATCATGTGGTATTTTTCTTTCATTGCCTGGCTTATTTCACTTAACATAATGCTCTTCAGATCCATTCAGGCTACTGCAAATGGTAAGAATTCCTTCTTTTATATAGCAGCATAATATTCCATTGTGTAGATGTACCAAAATTGTCTAATCCACTGATCTGATGATGGGTATTTAGGCTGTTTCCAAATCTTAGCTATTGTAAATTGTGCTAAGAACATAGGAGTGCATATATCCTTTCTGATTGGTGTTTCTGTTTTCTTAGGATATATTCCTAGAAGTGGTATTATTGGGTCAAATGGGAGTTCCATTGTTAAATTTTTTCAGGAAATGCTGTACTGTTTTCCACAGTGGCTACACCAGTCTGCATTCCCACCAGCGGTGGAGGGTTCCTTTTTCTCTGCATCCTTGCCAATACTTGTCATTTGTTGATGATAGCCATTCTGACAGGTGTGAGGTTGTACCTCATTGTTGTTTTGATTTGCATCTCAGATTAGTGACTTTGAGCATGTTTTCATATGTCTCTTGGCTTTCTGAATATCCTCTTTAGAAAAGTATCTATTTAAAATCCTTTGCCCATGTTTTTATTGGATTGCTTATCTTCCTTTTATTAAGTTGTATAAGGTGCCTGTAGATGGAGATTAAACCTTTATCGGAAATATCATTGGCAAATGTGTTCTCCCATGCATTAGGCTTGTTGTTTTGTTGATGGTTCCTTTTGCTGTGCAGAAACTTTTTATTTTTATGTAGTCCCATTTGTTTATTTTCTCCTTAGTGTTTCTTGCCCTAGGATCTGTGTCTGTAAAGATATTGCTACAACATATGTCTGCAATTTTGCTGCCTATGGAGTCTTGTAGGAGACAAAACAACAAGAAAGCCCACTGCATGGGAGAACACCACAGGCCCGTGGCCCAGGCTGCCCCACGACCCAAGGGAACCCCCACCCTGATCCAGGACACCCTCCAGGGCAAACCAACTGGCCCCCACCCATGAACCAGGCCTCTATCCTATCTAATAAAAGAGTAATATGCAGATTGACCAACACTCCAACAAACAAGATGGTTGCCTCCATGTGGTCAAAGATCCTGCCCCCATATGGACACAAGATGGCCACCAAGAAATGGCCCACAGGGGAGGGCAATTGGGAGGGACCAGGCCTGCAAGAGAGGGCAGTGTGAACGATCAGGCCAGCAGGAGAGGGCAGTTGGGAGGCACCAGGCCTGCAAGGGAGGGCAGCTGGGGATGATCAAGCCTGCAAGGGAGGGCAATTAGGGGTAACCAGGCTGGCAGAGGAGGGAAGTTGGGGGCAAACAGGCTGGCAGAGGAGCAGTTAGACATCAGGCTGGCAGGGGAGTAGTTAGGGGGTGATCAGGCTGGCAGGCATAAGTGGTTAGGAACAATCAGGAAGGCAAGCAGTTGGAAGTTAGCAGTCCTGGATTGTGAGAGGGCAGTTGGACATCTCTTGAGGGGTCCCAGATTGGAGAGGATGCAGGCTGGGCTTAGGGACAACCCCCCGTCCCCACTGTGCATGAATTTTGGCACCAGGCCTCCAGTGGTAACATAGAAATCCACATCTGAAACCTATATGTTTATGTTGACCAATGTCACCCCAATAAATTTAGTAAAAAAAAAAAAGAAGGCACTGTTTAGCTAAGACAGGCTGTTAAATGTGGAACAAAATATGTTTTTATTGATTTTAGAAAGAGCATGAGAGAGGGAGAGGGAAAGGGAGGGAGATAGAGAGAACATAGATAGGTTGCCTCCTGCACACACCCGGACCAGATACCAAACCCACATCGTGGGTATGTGCCTAGGCCAGGATGGAACCAGCAACTTTTCAGTTCATGGGGGGCACTCAATCAAATAAGCCACACCAGCCAGGGCCATCTAATCTTTTTTTAAAATTATCTTTATTGTTGAAAGTATTACAGATGTCCCTTTTTTTTTCTTCCATTGACCCCCTCCACCTCACTTCCATCCCTTCCTCAGGCATTCACCATATATGCATATAAGTTCTTCCTGTCCCCCCATATCTAACCTTAAATACAATAAATTAAAATATTGATCAAGAAGAAAAATTAAGGCAAAAAGGAATCCAGGGAATAATAACAACTTTTTTTTAACCCTCACCTGAGGATATTTTTTTCTACTGATTTTTAGAGAGTGGAAGGGAGGGAGATATGCAAGGAGGAGGAGGGGGAGAAGGAGAGAGAAACAAACAGATATTGATATGAGATATATTCATTGGTTGCCTGTCACACATGCTACAGGGATCAAACCTACAACCCAGGTACATGCCCTTGACTGGGAATTGAACCCGGGACCCTTCGGAGCACGGGTCAGTGCTCTAACCACTGAATAGCATACCAGCCAGGGCACCCAGGAGATAATTATTGAGCAAATGAGAAACCTAAAGAATTTTTTTTTTCCTTCTGGAACATAAAGTTTAGAAAAGCTTCCTTTGATAATCTGAAGATTAGGGATTAATCAAATCCCTTCACATAGTTCTATATGATCTTAAAGACCAAAATATCATGTTCTGAAAAACAATATGGAAAGTTATTTGGAATACAAACTTAAAAACAAGAGGCCTCTCTATATGAGGTTATCCAGTGGGGAAGCAATCACATTTACTTCAAATCAGCTAAAGCTTCTTTTTTTTCAGGTATACGGGCAACATTCCACACCATTAAACATCCTTTGGAACATTTTCTTCACTTGGCTTCCAGCACACCAGTCCCTGACTTCTTCTAGCACTGGATGGTCCTTCTCAGTCTTTTGCTGGTTCCTCCCCCTCTCTGCTTTTTAACGTTGGCACACCTCAAAGCTCAGTCCTTTGCCACCTCTTTCCCAGCTATATTAAATGATCTCATCCAATGCTGTGGCTATTCTAATAATTCCCAAATTAATTTTGCCAATTCCAACTTGTACCTTGAAATCTAGAGTTGGATATTCATCTGACTACTCAGCACCTGCAACTTAACATGGCTACAACAGAACTCCTGATTCCACACTCCTCCACACTGGTTCTTCTTCCAGTATGCCTCCTCTCTGCATCCCAGAATTTACCCAGTTGCTCAGTCAAAAACCCAAAAGTCACCCTTTACCCATCTTTTTCCTTCTCCTTATACCCATTATCAGCAGATCCTATCTTCTCTACCTTTACCAGTAAAGTAGAGCCTGAATCCAGTATCTAAACATTTCCTCCTCATCAGTTACGCTAATCTAACACTGTAATAACCTAACTGGTCTCTCTTTCACCCTAATTCCTCTTCAGTCTAAGTTCACTATACAGTTCCATATAGGAAAGTCAAATTATTGTATGTCACTCCTCTGCTCTCAATTCTTCTAATGGCTTCCCATTACATATCCATTCTGGGCTATAAGGACTTTCATGAACAACTCTCTAGCTTTCTATTGTTTCATTTCTTACCATTCCTATCCCTTAATCAGTTTTTTTTTTAATCTCACTAGCTTCTCTATTGTTCTTCAAACAGGCCAAGAAAGTTAACATTTTTAAGCCTTTTCACTTGCCTTTACCTCTGCCCAGAATGCTTTTCCCAAATATTCACATGGCTCATACACTTATTTCATTAGGGCCTCTGCATATGTCACTTCTCAAACAGGTCTTCTCTAACCACCTTATCTAAAATAGTAATCCGCTCAACATTCTGTTTCTATTCCCTTTTTCTTCATAGCAACCGATTTTATATATTTATTTACTGTTTTATTGTCTGTCTTCTCCAATGGGATATACTAAATTCCACAAAAGCCAGTATTTTGTATTGGTCACAGCTGTTATAATCAGCACACAGAATACCTGGCACACAATATGCTCAGTAAACATGTACTGAATCAAAAAAATTAACTGATAAGTGAGATTCTAAACATTACCCAGTAATATAGTTTAGAATTTTGCTTTAAAAGAACCATAAAAATGTGCCCTAAAATAAAAAAATTCCACTTGATTTCTCTCCCATGATATGAATTTTATTAAAAGAGAGAGTTATTCCATAGCACTGAAGCAAAATTTAAAGTAAATTTTCAGCAAGATATTCTAGCTATTATAAAGTTTTTAAAAAGGCTTCAGAATTATTCCTGAAAATAGCATTGCCTAAACACTTAAAAATGGTTATATACATATATTCACACAAACTAGAGCAGTTTCATGAAATCAAACCCGTATTAAGCAGGAATGTCTTGATTATCCCATGATTTTCTCCTTCCTTCTCATCAAGTTTCTACCAGTGAAAACCAAGAAATCAGCCAACTACTTATTAACTTGGTGTTGGCGCTATTGTTCACAGTCAGAAAAATGGCAGTATCCATGGAGGTTTCACAGAGACAGCAGAGTATTTTGCATAAGTATGCCTGTGGCTTAATTGCTACTGTATATTACCTCTGTCATCCATCAAGACAGCTTATACTCCACAAGAATGTGAAAAGGCCCACCGCATAATGGATATATCTCTTTATATATTTAATTTGGTGAAAGGTAGAGTCTGATGATTAAATCATTTTTCGCTAGTGCATTAGAATCTAGACCCCGAAAAACAAAGCTAGCCACATCAAAGCTCTCCTGAGCCATAATCAAAGGCCAATCCAAGCACTACCTGAGGATGACAGTGTGTTAGTAAAAAGTATATGGAAACTCAAAGTGAGCCACTTGGCCTCTCTGGCAACGAGGAAGGAATTGGGTCCAGTATGCTTGGTTTGTTCTGTCAGCATTCATTTCATGTTGATCATGGAGTTTATGCTGTGTGATCAGGGGACAGAAGAATGACGAATACTACTTCTTATGAAAAGTTTCAAGCCTTGTAAGCCCTCTGAAAATAAATAGTCCAAATATTCATTCCATTTCTTTCCCTGTAGGAACAAAAAAGGGGAAGGTTATTTATTGGATATTTACTATGCTTATTCTCTACCTTCTCATTCACTAATAGACAAACCAGAAAGTACCCAAAGTTTAAGAGTTAAACATTACTTTTATTATATTGGCAAAAAAATTTTAGCTGTTCAACTTGAGTAAGAATTGTGAAACAGAAATGGGTCATCACTCCCATGCTCTAGGAATTTAGCATCTAAACTAGATAACACAGGAATAGACATTATTATATTACTGCCTACATTAAATATGTACATAGCAGAGTTTCTAGAATAATGAGACAACTGTGTTTGGGTTTATTAAATTAGCCTTATAATCACATTTTGAATATATGCAACTGTACTGTAAAATGAGAAACATAGTCACAACAGCAAGAGTCAAATTACAAATAGTTATATTTTTTGAGAAGACTATAGAGGGTATGTGCCAATAAATTCACATAAATGTCATGGGGATGAATTCAGAAAGTAAACATTTTACTTTGACTTTGTGGAGGAAGCAGGCTTAAGGTTTGGTAAAAAAATAAAAATATAAATTCTTCTGATAAAATGATGCTGTATGAAAATCCTGAAAATAAAATAAATTTATTTACCCGAATGGAGCTCACGTTTACTCTCCTTTCTTCTGGGTATTCCTTAAAAAAAAAAAACCATACACACAAAATAAAGAAGTGGGCCTTATGGGGATGGAAATATTTAGTTAGCAAAAATTACCAAACATTAAGATAGCTCTTCACTGATCTATTTGCTACATTCTTTTCCTACCACCACTCTTGGATTCCTTTTGAATAAATACCCACTATAACTTTCCATATTTCTTCCTAGAAGCATAAACAGAGGGAAATAAAACCAGTGGATAAAGTGAGTACTGTTTTGCTAATCTATGTCCTTATTTATTTTTTTTTTTTAATTATGTGTTCAGCCACTGGGGTGGAAATGGAGAAATGGAGAAACTAGAAAGGGAGAAAAAGAGAGAGAGAATCTTGAAGAATGAGGAGGAAGTATGGTGAGGCAATCTGTGTACACAGTCGATTCTATAAAGCTCTGTAATTCTTTTATGAAAACTCGGACCTAAGTGACCCATTTATTCCCTGGCCTTAACTATCACCTACTGTATTTCACTGAAAAGCCATCAATTCTAACAAACAACATATTTTATACATTGCTAAGAAAAAACAGCCTATTAAACTATGTATAACATAATTTTTTTCAACACTTAGAATTTCTTTATTTCATAAAGACTGTAAGAGCTTGAGATATAAGCAGATTTTGCACATATATCATTTTTATAAACATGAAACGATATATATAAAATTAAGTGCCAAAAGCATTTCTAAAACTTTATATTCAGAGTCCAACTCTTCTGAATCACTTTATATGCAAGAGTTGTGGATATCTAAGTTTGCTCACACAATTGCACCCTCTGTGCCACTAATGCTGATGACGCAACATTTCTTAAAGGAACTAAAAGGGTACTCAGGATTCCAATGACATAAAGCTAACCAACTTTTGGCTCCTGTTTCAAGAAAAGTCTATAACATGTTTCACTGCTTTCCTCCCCACTATGACTATCAGTATCTCTTGTGTGGACTTCAAAAGCCTCCCAGTTGGCGCCTGCACTACACTCAGGCCTCCTTTTATAACTCTACCCTCATTGAAAAAGCCAAAGTGATCTCTATTAAGTATCAACTCAGACCATATTACAACCCTGTTTAAAAATCTTTCAACTGCTAACAGACATTCCTAACAGATCTGTAAGTTAAACAGTCCCTGGATTTTTCCAACCTTATTTCATTCCATTCTCCCTCTTGTTCCTTAATCTCTAAGTCAAACTGGCCTTCCTTTTCTCGTTGAACCCTTTGAGCCATTTTACTGTTCCCACTACCTGCAATGCTTTTCATCCAGATATTCATACTGGCTTATTCTCATTTTAGAAGAAATATCAGATCAAATGTCACCTCCTCAAAAAGGCCTGTTTGAACATCCATCCCTGACAACATTCAAGTCACTCTCTCACCCCATCCTGCTTATGTCCTACAAAGCCTTTCTCAAAAAGTATGTTCTAAAAAAAGTATGTTCACTTATTACATTACTTATTGTTTCTTCTTATTAGCATATAAACTTCATTGGGGCAGAGATAGTATCTATCTTCTTTAAAAAACATTTTATTGATTTCAGAGGAAGGGAGAGGGTAGCGAGAGAGATAGAAACATCAATGATAAAAGAGAATTATCCACCGGTTGCTGCCTGCATAGCCACACTGGGGATCAAGCCTGCAATCCGGGTTTGTGCCCTGACTGGAACCGAACTGTGACCTAGTTCATAGGTGGATGCTCAACCAGTGAGCCATGCCAGCCAGGCAGTAAATGTACTCTTAATCACTGTATCTCTAGTGCCAGAAGCATAGTGGACACTAAATAAATAAATATGTACTAAATAAATAAAGAAACAACTAGCTATTAATTCAAAGGTAATTTATGATTAGAAAGCCTAGAACTTCAGAATTTCCTGAAATGTAGGCTCTAAAAATATTCAAAACATATTTCAACTCAAAAATTGAGCTGCAGCCCAGCTGGTGTTGCTCAATGGCTGAGCCAACCCATGAACCAAGAGGTCACTGGTTCGATTCCCTGTTAGGGCACATGTCTGAATTGCAGGCTCAATACTCATTATGGGATATGCAGAAGGCAGCTGATTAATGTTCTTAAGCATAACCAATGGATGCAAAACACTGGGGCGTGAGGGCATATATGGGAGTGGGGGGGAGCATTGGTAAGATATGTACACATATAATCCTATCTAATAAAATAGTAATATGCAAATTAACCATCACTCCGCAACAAAAATGGAGGTGCCCATAGACACAAGATGGCAGCACCAGTCCTCTCAGGCCCAGGGTGGGCTGCCGCTGAAAGCAGGCACATGAGGCCCTGGCTGTTGGCCTGGGAGGTGCCTTCACACCCCTAGTGCCATCTTCTCCCAACCTTGACCTGGGCAGTGGCCTGGGAGGCAGCTCTGCACCCCAGCTTCCAGCTAGGAACCAGGCAGTGGCCTGCAAGGTAGCGCACCCCCCCCCTTCCTCACAGCCATGAGATCAGCTGTGCAACCCTGACGTGATCAGCACCCAGCTGCAACCTGAGCCATAGGCCTGGGAGGCAGCTGTGCAATCCCCATCCTCCTAACCCCCCAGCCCCACATGCAATCTGCTCCTAGCCTCGGCCTGGGCGGCTCCTGCAACCGCCTATCCTCCCCTTCCCCCGCTCCAGCGATCAGCTCCCATCCACAGCTGGGGGGGGGGGGGAAGGCCTGGGAGGCAGCTGTGCCCCAAGAGCTATCCCTTCCCTGGGACAGCCTGGGGTGTCAGCCTCCAAAGGGCCTGCACCTCCATGGAGTGATCCTTCCCACACACACCTATAGCCTTGGCATTTCCCTTGCCCCCAGCAGAGTGATTAGAGACAGAAAAGGAATAAAAAGAGAAAAGAAAGGACAAAAGGTGAAACATAAAGAAAAGGAAAAAAGGAAGAAACAACCACATGATATCACCTTTCCAAGGTCTCATGAAATTCCTGTTTAATGAGTTTATTTTATGACACTTTTAGTTTGGCTTTACATTTTTACTGGTTTGTCAAGACCACAGCAGCTATACTGTCCAATATGTCAAAGAAAAATCCCTATCTAATAAAGAGGGAATATGAAGGGGAGAGCATTTGAGGGCTATCAGGTCAGCAGGGGAACAGTTAGGCATTAATCAGGCTGGCAGGGGAGTGGATGAGCAGGCTGGCAGGCAGAAATCGTTAGGGGCAATCAGGCAGGCAGGTGAGCAGTAGGGAGCCAACAGTCCTGGATTGTGAGAGGGATGTCCGACTGCCTGTTTAGGGCAGTCAGATGTTTAGGATGTCTGACTGCCTATTTAGGGGTCCCAGATTGGAGAGGGTGCAGGTTGGGATGAGGGACTCCCCCTCTTCCAGTGCATGAATTTTGTGCATTGGGCCTCTAGTACCTTAATAAAACATATGAAAAAAATGTTAAGTTAAAAAAAATTTAAAAATCAATATAAACATTAAAAAAATAGAATCTCATTTAAGAAAAAAGTGAGCTGTGCTGTTTGATACTGAGAACTGATTGGTCAAATTAAATTAACTGAATTACTTATAAAAATTTGGCTAACTTGAAATATTTACAATGTAAAATTCAGTAAAAATGTCAGAATTCAATTATACTAACATGGTCCAGAGATTATTTTTTTCCATCTCAAAAGTAAGATATTTAGTGAGCTGTTTGCTGGTGATAATAAGGGCTCAAAAATCAGTCTTTTAAAAGCAAGAATGGCTGAAACCAGTTTGGCTCAGTGGATAGAGCGTCGACCTGCAGACTGAAAGGTCCCGGGTTCAATTCCAGTCAAGGGCATGTACCTTGGTTGCGGGCACATCCCCAGTAGGGGGTGTGCAAGAGGCAGATGATCGACGATTCTCTCTCATTGATATTTCTAACTCTCTATCCCTCTCTCTTCCTCTCTGTAAAATATCAATAAAAAATATTTTTTTAAAAAGCAAGATTGGCATTAAAGCCTAGTATTTTCAGAACCATACAGAAATATCATCAACTACAAAAATGACAGTTTTACCTTCTACTACATGTACTCTGTGCCTCTAGAATTTCTCCTTGCAGAACTAAACTTCCTTAATCATTTTAAAAACTATTTTCTGATTTAAATGAATATATCAATTCCTAATCACCCAAAACAATTTTGCTTATTTATGTCCAACTTGATAATACTTAATACTGTAGAGACTGAATCTTATAAAATACATACACACACACACACACACACACACACACACACAGAAAAAGAATTGACTTATGAAAAGCAATTCTGCTCTATCTATGATTTATTACATGCTTTTCCAATAGGAATTGAATGCCACTGTGTTGAAGGAGTATGAAGAAATTGACACCCATTCATTGTTAGCAATAATGTAAATTGGTATAACTTCTATTGAAAGAAGTTTGACAATACCTAATAAAATTAAGAAGATATACCCTTTAAAAAAATCCTCACCCAAGGATATGCTTATTTTTTAAAACATGATTTTATTAATTTTACAGAGAAGAGGATGGAAAGGGCTAGAGAAATAGAAACATCAATCGGTTGTCTCCTGCATGCCACCAAGAGGAATTGAGCCCACAAGTCGGATATGTGCCCTGACTGGAAATTGAACTGCTGACCTCTTAGTACATAGGTCAATGCTCAACCACTGAGCCTCCCCAGCTAGGCAGGATATTCATATTCATTTTAGAGAAAGAGGAAGGTAGAGGGAGGAGAGAAAGGGGGAAGAAAGTGTTGTGAGATAGAATAGAGAGAATCAATTATTTGCCTTCTGTACATGCCCCAACTAGGGATTGAACCCACAACCATTTGATATACAGGATGATGCTCCAATCAACTGAGCCACACTGGTCAGAACAAAAGATATATCCTTTTAAAAGCAATTCCACTTGGAGCAATTTTATCCAACAGGTATACCTACATATGTTTGAAATGATGCATATAGTTTAAGAACATTCACTGAAGTATACTATCTAATAAAGGAGTGATACGCAAATTAACCATTGCTCCCCTACACTCACAAGCCAC